GCATTTAACCCCAGCACCTGGGAGTCTGAGGGCAGCCGGGTCTACAAAGCGCATCAGAGCTACACAGAGAAAATTTGTCTCAAAAAGCCAAGAAAGAGAGGGAAGAAAGAAAGAAAGAAAGAAAGAAAGAAAGAAAGGAAGGAAGGAAGGAAGGAAGGAAAGAAAGCCAAGTTTAGTCTTTAGTATTGAACTCACCCTCAAATGTGGCATAAATAGAACTTTTTCAAAGAGATGAGACATATCTCATTTCTACTGAGAGAAGTCACGGATTCTGAGTTATATAAAGTGTTATCTGGCTGACCTTCTACTGTGGGTGAAAATTAAGATTCCAGGACTAAAGGCACAGGCTTAGTCTCAGGTCATCTATAAAGTGGTTTCTGTGGCTCACTAGAAAAGACTTCTGCTATGGGATCTCAGCACTGAATATAGACAAGGATCAATTTAAAGTATGGTCCAGCTCAAGGATATTACAAAAAAAAATACCAAGGGCAGAAATTAAGTCCCTTATTATATTTAAAGATAAGACAAACATTCTCCTTTCCCAGGAATGTTTGTGTCCTGGGTAAGAGCAAACAGTGGGTCAATGTATTGCAGTCACCCATCAAAGGACAGTACACTCATTGTATACCAGTTGGAAGAATGAAAGAACAGTTCCTGACAGTGCTCTGCACAGAGTGAACTCATCAACAACTTCTGATTTCACTCTTATAACAGCTTTGACATATAGCAAAGGGTGTGCCTCTACCCTATTTGGGATCAAGGTATTCAGTTCTTCTATGAGATATCTTCTTCATTCATATCCAGAAAAATGGAACTTTGTTCAAGTGACCTAGTCAGGTAAAACCCTGGGGACATGTTGAGAGTCAGTCCACTGGGTGGCAAGGGAGCTGCACCAAGCTGATGTGGAGTGCTGGGCCATCCTTCATGAGCGACCACATAGCATATCTGTATTTAATATAATCAAGATTATTGGTGTTTTAAAATGTGGCCCCTGGGCCTGCAGAGATGGCTCAGAGGTTAAGAATACTGTCTGTTCTTCCAGAGGTCCTGAGTTCAACTCCCATCAACTACATGGTGGCTCACATCATCTATAATGAGATCTGGTGCCCTCTGCTGGCAGGCACGTGTACATGCTGACAGCAGATTATATACATAATAAATAAATCTTAAAAAAAATAACCACCACCCTGATTCACCAGCAGCATCACTGGCCTGCAAGAGTAAAAGGAATGATTCAGCCTTAAGTGATAGGGAGGAAGATATTGTATTGAATTTCCAGTAGTTAGAACAATTATTACAGTGAGGCTCCAGGAAGCCAAGAGCTGAGTCTCCTGCTCCATCCACATTCGTTAGTTTGGATCTTAAATATTCCCAAAGCTTCATGAATTAAAGGTCTTTTTCTTCAGGGTGATGTTATGGAGTGGTAGAACCTTTAAGAGCTAAGGCCTCCTGGGAGCCTTGGACGTCCCTGGAGGCATGAGGCCTGAAAGGGATTGTGGGATTTCAGCCCATTTCTGTTTTAGTTAGAGTTTCCATTGCTGTGATAAAACACCATGACCAAAAGCAACTTAAGGAGAAAAGGGTTTGTTGTTGTTGTTGTTGTGTTGTTTTGTTTTTGGCTTAAATATCCTGAGTCATACTGAAGAAAGAAGGAATGAAGAAATATCCACTGAAGGAAGTCAAGATAGGACCTGAAGAAGAAGCCATGGAGGAATGAACGCTGCTTACTGGCTTGGTCCTGATGGCTTGGTCAGTCTGCTTTCTTATACCATCCAATACCACCTGCCCAGGGTGGCAAGACTTCAGTGGACTGGGCACTCCAACATCAATCATGCCCTACAGGCTTTCTCTACAGGCAATCTGATGGAGGTATTTCTCAGCTAAGAGTCCTCATTAGCCCAGGTTTGTGTCAAGTCGACAAACCCAACCAGAACAATTGATCCATTGTCGTCGACTGGACACACAAACACATCATTTATCAAACCTTTCCTTTCTTGTTCATCCCCATGATCTCCCACTAAAATCACAAACATAAACATAGCATAACTTTAAAAGTCTCAGGCATAAACTTCTTAATGCTTTAAAAGGCCACCGTTTTCTTTAAAAATCCAACATCTCTTTATTTTTTTATTTTTGAGATTATAATTTGATGACAGCATTTCTTCCTTCCCTCTCCTCTTAACTCCTTCCATAAACCCTTCCCTATTCTCATTCAAATCTATAGCCTATTTTTCATTAATGTTTATTGCATGCAAATATGTCTGTACATATATATTCTTAAACCTAACCTGTTCAGTCTGCATAGTACTACTTGTATGTGCATTTTCAAGACTGACCCTGTGGCACTGGAAAACCAGTGTGCTTTCCCTAAACATCTCTTTAAAAGTAGATGCCTGTAAAATAAAAAATAAGTTAAATACTTCCTTACTCTAAGAGAGAAGAATCAGGGCACAGCCGCGATCAAGTCAGAGCCACGCCAAACTCCTATATGCAGTATACGTAGCTTAGTGTGGAACATTTGGGACTCACTCATAATCCTCTGGCTTCCAAACAGCCCGAGCAGCCCCATTTCTCTGGCTCTGGCCTCCAACGCACACAAAACCTGTCTCAGAGGCTCTGGTGATTCCGCTCCTCAGCTGCTGTTGTCTTTGGCAGTAATCTCGTGCTACTTGTATCTTCGCTGTACTGGAGTCTCCACTCTAAGTGAAGCTGCACCTTCACCAAAAGCTTATCTTAGAGGACGCCAGCCCTGCTGTGTGGTGCCAGGCCTCAGTTGTACTGGATTTGAAGTCATGAAGGAGTCTTGAAGAGCAAACACAGGCAGAACCAAACAGGACGGCAATCCTTTGGTGGATTTCTCCGGAAGTCCTCAGCTTTAACCAAGGACTAGAGTTCATTGATGATTATGGTGAAGTCAAAAGAATAGATCTAGTTGTCGTCGTTATTCTTATTGGAGCTATTTTTCAGTGTCTCCTGGCATAGCCTAAGGTGGCTTTGAGCTGTTGGCAATCTTCCTACCTTGGCCTCCCCGGTACTGAGATATGAGCATTGGCCATCACTTCCCTTTCAGGATGATCACTTCTAGATGAAGTGTGTGTGTGGTGTGTGTGTGTGTGTGTGTGTGTGTGTGTGTAGATGGATCTTCCTAAAGGATTCACGGGGATGACCCAGGCACTCATGTACAGGAAGTATGGATGTGAATCACACATTTTGCCTTGGCTTTCTCTTTGTAGAAGGATAGATCTGGGAAGCACAGGAAGTAGCCAGGCCATTCCCCTCTCCCCCCCCCCCCCCCCGCCCGCGTGCCGCTCACACAACCCACAGCAGGCTGTATCCTGGATAGCTTTCTGACCTCTCTATTTCTTCACCTGTACCATGGTTCCTCATGCCCCAGCAGAGGCAGGGACTGAGGATGAGCCTGGATTGGTGAGGAAGTCATTCTCATTTGGTTGGTAGACCCAACCAAAGACCAGCCCAAGACAGCCCAGAATAGTCTGAGACCTTTGCCTGCAGGGCCTACGTTTCTAAGCTGGACTTGGGTCGGACAGAGAGTGCCAGGCCAGAGGCCCAGGAAGGGCGCCTAGGCAGGCACCGTCCCAGCTGCCAGGCAAGCGCTGCAGGCGCCTCCTCTTCTCTGGCGCTGCCAGCACACAGTCCCAGCGGGCTCAGCTCCCAGTCGCCTGCCACCGGCCCGCCGGGCACACGCCTGGGGCGGGATGGAGACTGCGCCAAGGCCTCCGAGGCGCCTGCTACAGGGCGGGACAAGGAGGGAAGCCTTTGCGTTTGTCCAAACTCGGTTATCCACCATTCCGCACAACCCACACCTTCTTACTCTAGAAGATTTGAAATATCCCGGAGTGCTCTCTTTCCGCAGGGGGACTAGAAAGCACTTTTCAGAGGAGTGGAGGTTGTTACAGAATAGAAACAGATAACCGCGAGAGCGGCCCTCTGTGCGTTTCCCCACACCACTGACCACAATAATCGCGCCACACACCTGCGAGAGGGTTCGCGCCTGTGCTCTCTCTCTCTGTCTCTCTCTCTGTGTCTGTCTCTCTCGCTCTCTTTCACACACACACACACAGCACATCGTTTTAAAGCTGAGGATTATCGCACAATGTAGTTCAAACTAGCCTCCAATTTAAGATTCTCCCGCCTCAGCTACTTAGAGAACCGGCAACCACCGCTACCGTCTTCACACCTGCGGAGTTGTGGCCAGCACGTCCTGTTCTTGAAGCTGATGGAATAGTGGCCTTAATGCAGCGTTATAGCGCTACAGAGAGAAAGGCAGCTTAAACAGAGCCACAGCACTAGTACGAGGGCTGGCTCAAGGGACTAGAACCCGAGTTCCCACACCGTGGCCGCTACTTCCCTGTATGCAAGCGCTGCCATCTTCCTAAACCTAATTCGCAAATACATATATTTTTTAGGGTTAGCAAAGAATCCTCCGGAATAACTGTGGAGGGAGGAAAGGGAAAAGCCACAGCCCTAGCCCTCTGCCTCCCTAAGGCGCCTTTGCTACTTTTTTCCTGCCTAAATCCTCCTGGAATTTTCTTCCACGTACTTAGGAGACTCCAAAGACACTTTGCCCCCAGACTTCCCACCTAGGCACCCCAAGTCAAGTCGGAGAGCCATTTACCCTTTTAAAAGAGAAGGCCCCCGTTTGCAGAGCCGCCCCCTGGCGCCCCGAGCCGCCGCCCCGAGCGCGCAGCCTGTTTATTCAGCCGGGAGTCCGGCACGCGCCAGGCGCACGCACTGCAACAACAAACCCGGCTGAATGGAGAGTTTGCAAGGAGCGGGCGCGGGCACCCGGAGGGGGGAGGAGAGAGAAAAGGGGGGAGCCGGGGGAGCGAGAGGGGGGAGTGGGGGCCGCAGCCGCCCGCTGCAGCAGCGGGGAGTGTGGGGCAAGGCGGGGCCCGGGCTGCGCGTGGGGCTGGGTGTCCCATTGAAAAGGCGGCCGCGGCGCAGCCGCCCAGCACTCTCTCACTCCTGGCAAGGGAACGTGGAAGGCGGACCGGCCTGGAGCCGGTCAGGGAGGGCGAGGTGGGGGGCGAAAGAGGAATTAGAAAGAAAGAGGGTTAACCAAACAATCCCAGAAGCAGGCTCCACCTGGGCTAGGGCTGAGCAGAGCGGAGCCAGGAGCGCGCAGCAGCGGAGCGGCGCGACCTGGCGGAGCGCGCACGGCGCTGACTTCGGCTGCGGCTTTCCCTTTCCCTTTTTCTTTTAATACCAAGAAGGCGCCGGCGGCGGCCGCACACGCGAGTGCCACGCGAGGCTCCTGGAGCCAGCCGCGGCGGGAGGAGGGGAGGGAGGAGGCGGCGCACAGGGAGGACGGGCGCCGGGCACCTTCCCTCGCTGCAGCCCGAGGACTCGGCGGCCTCGGCCTCCGCGCGTCTCCTCTCCGACTCCCCTCGGCGGCCGGTCCCCCGCTCCCCGTCCTTCGCCCCGCTGACCGCGCCTCCCGCGCCCCTCTCGCTAGCGCTCCGCGCGGCCCGCGCGCCCCTGTCTCTGTCCCCCGCGACTCCTCGGCCCGGCATGGAGAGCTCCGGCAAGATGGAGAGCGGCGCGGGCCAGCCGCCGCAGCCCCCGCAGCCCTTCCTGCCGCCCGCAGCCTGCTTCTTCGCCGCGGCGGCCGCTCAGGGCGCGCAGCCGCCGCCGCCGCCGCCGCCGGCGGCGCCGCAGCTGAGCCCCGCGGCCGACGGCCAGCCCTCAGGGGGCGGTCACAAGTCGGCGGCCAAGCAGGTCAAGCGCCAGCGCTCGTCCTCCCCGGAACTGATGCGCTGCAAGCGCCGGCTCAACTTCAGCGGCTTCGGCTACAGCCTGCCGCAGCAGCAGCCCGCCGCCGTGGCGCGCCGCAACGAGCGCGAGCGCAACCGCGTCAAGCTGGTCAACCTGGGCTTCGCCACCCTCCGGGAGCATGTCCCCAACGGCGCCGCCAACAAGAAGATGAGCAAGGTGGAGACCCTGCGCTCCGCGGTCGAGTACATCCGGGCGCTGCAGCAGCTGCTGGACGAGCACGACGCGGTGAGCGCCGCCTTCCAGGCCGGCGTCCTGTCGCCCACCATCTCCCCCAACTACTCCAACGACTTGAACTCTATGGCGGGTTCTCCGGTCTCTTCCTACTCCTCCGACGAGGGGTCCTACGACCCTCTCAGCCCAGAGGAACAAGAGCTGCTGGACTTTACCAACTGGTTCTGAGCGGCTGCCAGGCCCTGCTGAGAATGGACCCTGGGAGCAGGTACATTCCCCTTTAGGGGGTGGGAAGAGGCTTTCTTGTGGGGCCCTCCTTTCCTTTTGAGGGTTCATGGAAACTAGGAGAGTGTCTCCAGGAATGGGGGGCGGCGGATTATTGTTATTAGTCTGTCTATTTCAAATCCTAGCTGGCTTCAGTCTTGGCCCCTGCCAGTGGCTTTACCAGAATGGAGGGTAGAGAGGTGAGGCGCGGAGATTCTGGGCACTGAGCTCTGGGACTTCGTCCAAAGAAACGTGTTTGCCTGACAGACCCCCCAGCCTCCACCAGTCCCCTCCAAACTTGCACTAACCTCTTCTGTTTCTATTACAGGGTGGCTGCGGATCCCGCATCTTTAGTGTTTTTCGCCAGCAACGCTGAAGTTGGGGGGAGGGGAGAAAAGCCAGAAAAGAAACAGAAAACAAACACAAGCAGACAGCCAACCTCAAGGGGCACCTTGACTAACGTGCGATGTTCTCAGCAAACAGGGGTGAGCTCCGACAGGATCTTTGCACTCCAATCATTCTCGGACTTGAGAAGAGTGAGTGGCGCCTGATTCTAAACCCAAGTCGCAGCTGGTGTGCAAATGCAGTGGGTTCCTTTCCTGGAGCGAGAGAGCCATACACACCCAGCCGACAGCTAACAGGCCAGGCGGGGCTGAAAGCTCTGGCCCGTGCCTTCACCTCGCACCCTCCGTCAAAGCTGTCCTAGCCCGCTGGAGCTGGGCTGGCGTCTTTCCTCGGTCACCCCCACCCCAGCGAACTGTGGACATGGTCTGCAGTGAAGCTATGCTATACTGTACTCAGTACTTGGACACCTGTCCCTTATCCTGGTGGCCTCCTCCCCAAACCCTACAATCGCCCTTCCGCTGTTTTTGCTTCTGTTTTCATCATAGAATGCTTCCAATCTTTGTGAATTTTTTTATTATAAGAAAAAAAATTATTTGTATCTATCCTAACCAGTTTGGGGATATATTAAGATATTTTTGTACATAAGAAAGAGAGAGAAAAATTTATAGAAGTTTTGTACAAATGGTTTAAAGTGTGTATATCTTGATACTTTAACATGTAATGCAATTACCTCTGCATACTTTAGAAGTGTAGTCCATCTCACAACTGCATCTCCCTCCCCCCATGTGGTTTCGTAAAGAACTCTCCTCATAGGCGAGATCTAAATGCCACCAGAATGACTTCAGCACCAATGTGTCTTACTTATTAGAAACGGTGTTAATGTATTAATCATGTTATTAAAAACTGTTCAAGGAGAACAAAGTTTATGCAGCTACTGTCCAAACGCAAAGTGGCAGCCATTTGGTTTCCATGGGTTGCCTTTTGGAAATTTCTACCACTGCCTTTTTCCCCTTACTGTTTTATTACAAACTTACAAGAACATGTATAACCCTGTTTTATACAAACTAGTTTTGTAATAAAACTTTTTCCTTTTTTATAAAAAAGAGAGCGAGAGAGAATGATCAGCTGCCTCTATGTCTTCTTTCGGCTCTGCCGCTGCTGGTTTGACCCCAAAATACCCGAAGGGAGGCTGGGGGGGGGGTGCCAAGGGTGCTTGGTGGCAGGACTGGGTGGAGCCCCGCCCTGGCGGAAACTTTGTGATGGTCGTGTGTGTAGGGTCCCACTCCTAGTACCTGTGTACAGCCCCCAGGGGAGCAGAGGGGACTCACAGCCCAGCATCCTGCCACACACAGTAACCTGGAAGAGACTTCCTTCCCTCCATGCTTCCTCTCAGCCCCTTTGAAGTTTTCCTGGTGAGGAGGTGGAAGGGCTAGGTGTCCTGGTTTAGTCTAGGCCTGGGTCCTTGGAAGGGTAGTGCTCAAAGTTGGGGCTTGGAGTGGGTCTCCCTGCCTGCAAACAAACTTTAGGGACAGGGTAGAGTCCTGCCCTCACTTCTCGCTGCACAGTTTCCACTCAGTGTATACACACTTCCTTTCAGTGGATCTAGACACTTTACATACCGATTTTAAGTAAAAGACCCACAAGATACAAATTCCTCGCAGGAGGAATTAGACTTGAATATGTAAATGTCATACAAATGTGTGGTCGCTCTGAGACGCTGGCCTATCTGAGCCTCTGACTCTATCCCAATAGCGTGAGCAGCGTGTAAAAGTACCCAATTACCAAGATTCAAAAAGAAATTGGTGGGTTTTTGGCTGGCTTGCTTCTTGTCAGTTAGCAAGGACGTGATTAGAATCCTACTCGGCCTCTAGCCGGCTCCTTGCTCGCTGCCTGCATCCCTTGCAGATTCAGTTTGCGTGTCTCCACCCAAGCGGAAAGCCAGGCGCAAAATGCATCTTACAAAACCCAACAAAGAGTGGGGCCCCTCATGGCTCCCAGAGTTAAAAATCTAGCCTGTGTTGCTATATCTATACCATTTAGCGGCACAGAATAACCTTTTTTTTTTTAAAGCTGCTATGCGTGGAGCATGCCACAGCGTCTGATGTCATTTTGCTAAATGACCCTCTATAGAATGCGCACGGAGGCTTCGGTCCCTTTCAGAGAGATGGGCGTAATTAAGGGGAAAAAAATCAGTAAATTCCCCATCGCCATAAATAATCGGACTTTCTGCCAGCAGTGGGCCAATTTAGAGCTTACTTGGGGGAAGCACTGCGTCTGGAGTGCGGGCTTTGTTTTTTATCCCATTTGGAAGACCGGAGCTGGGCGCCCCTCCGCCCCGTTCCTGCTCCGTTTGGCTTAGCTGCCGAAGGTAAGCAGAGAAAGTGTTGCAAGTCATTTGTGGCTATGAATATAACATTAGGATAATGTTTCAACCCTACAAAAGGGATTTTCTTCTTCTTCTTGTGCCTGTAAGGACAGGTGTTCTTTTACCGGCTTCTGAATGGGAAATATCAAGACTTGGTTAAACTCTGGGCAAAGTTAGCTGGTTGTTTGTCACGATGTGAAAGCAAACTCAAAAAAAAAAATCACAAAACACACACACACAACACACACACACACACACACACACACACACACACACACACACACACAATTTTGCCGGGAAGCTCGGAATGGGCAAAATCTCATTACATCTGCTCTAATCGCTTAGCAACACAAAGCCGGGGCTTGTGCAGCGAAGGGAAGCCATTCACGGAGCTCTGACAGGCCGCATTCAGCTAGCATTAGTCAGCTCCATAAATCACCGCTGCCCATTGGCTGCTCTGCAGGCTTAGGACTGTCAGCGAAATACAAAATGTAGACCCCAGCGGCCAGCAATCGCGCGCCCTCTGCCCCATTTTAAGCCTCTGTGCGGGGGGGGGGGGGGGCGCTCTGGGAAGACTTGGTTATTGACTGGGAGATCTTACCTATTCTGTAAACAGCCAGAGACCAAGACCACTAGTTAAGGCTGAAATCCTCCCGAAACAGAGGAGGGGGAGCTAGGGAGTGGGATGAGAGAGGGAGGGAGTCCTCACTAGCACTGGAGCTGGTTGCATAAGCTACTCCTCACAGCCTGGGATAGAGAGCTACCAGGCCCCATGCCCCCCCCCCCTGCCCACCTTATCTTTTAACATTGGGAGTAGAAGCCTATGCGTGGAGGGTGATCCAGGAAGCCCCATCAAGCAACAGGGGAAAATATTTTGCTATCTTCTACCTAGAATTTCAAAGGCTGACACACAGCAGAGGAGGAAGCATGGCTCCCCAACCGGCCTCACCACTGGGACATCAGAGCACAGGGAAGAAACAACCTGAGTCCTTGTTCCGCAGAGCAAGTACATTAAGCTGTATAAAGGGATCTAAGAAATGCTCTTATGGTAGAAATTACAAGCCCTCAGCAAGCAGGGCCCCATGTTTTCTTTCCCACTCTAGTTTTCATGGCGTATTGAAATCACAGTTCAGACTGTGATACACAGAACAGTATCTGAGTGTTTGAGGAGAATCAAAGTCTGCTTTTTTTTTTTTTTTAGAAACTCCAGTTTGTATCATTCCTCCAAGAAGAGTTCCCCACCCCCACCCTGTCTTTTCACCTGTCAGTCATTTTCTGTGGTCTCCCCTTCCATTTCTGCCAAGGATTTAGCCACAAATGTGAAAATTCTGTGCTGTTGCTTCTTAGCGTGATTGTTGAACCATGTATGCAGCAGTGAGCTCCACGCATAAGGACAGGGACCACGGCGACTGGACCATACCCGTCTTGTTTATTATTAACCCTTTGGTTCATTTGGAAACAATTGCTTGGGGAAAAGAATCTGGGTGGTCTGCAGTATTCCACTGTGTCCCATTCTGTAAAGGTAGAAGACAGACAACTTGGACCCTCAGTTATTTGTTCTCTGTCTTCTTCTGTCCCCACCCCAGAGTATCTCAGCAAGATGACCTAGAATTCATCATCAGAGCTCCTATGCTCTCTAAAATTCCTGCTAGGCTTGGCTAGGGAGAGGCACCAAGAGGCAGGCCACAAAGCAAGGGGGGAGATGGGTTAGGGGGTGTCCTTATTCTCTTATTTGCTTGCTCTGGAGGTAGACACTCCTAGGTCCAAGGCCACAGCTTGCTAACCTGTTTCTGCCACAGGCACAGCTTTTGCTGGCAGTCAGTAACCATCCCTCCTCTCGCAGGCTCAGAGGTGACTAACTGTGGCTTCTCCTTGTGCCTGGGCTTGTCAGGGGCTGCCTTTCCGGGCTTACTTTCCCTCACCCATAAGTATTTCTGTCTCTTCATTAACTCTCCTCTTTTGCCCCTTTAAGGAGCGACCATTTTCTTCTGCTCCCCCTGACTGCTTCTTAACCACCATGCCTCAGGATCAGGCAGATGGATTGCCGTTGTGTTAGATTTTCTTCAGGGTTTTCAAGTAACAGACTTTCTAAAGTTGACACAAAACTCTCTTCAACACCATTTCTGGAAAACCACCATCTTTTTAGACCAGCAATGACTTACCTGCAAGTTTGGAAGAGAAATTACTTATGTGATTCATGACAGTGGAGTATAATAACAACTTTAATGGGGATGAATACAACATGAAGAGGCCTTAGAGCTGCCAGGGCAGTCTTTCAGCCGCCTCCTTTCCCACTGAACCTTTGGAACCCGGTACAGAGGCGGTCCTGGGACTCACAGGTAAGCTAAGGCAAGGCTGGGGCAGGTGGAGCCAGTTAGCCCTCAGGGTCATTAGCAAGTACTCGCTAAAAGGGAGCGGGCAGTGAGGAAGTGCTGCTAAGTAGCCAGCATCTCTACAGCTTCGTAGTCATAACTTGAATCTTCAATATAAGCACTCTAGGAAGCGTGTCTAGTTCCACTTCAAAAAACCCACTAAGGAGGTTTCTTCCGTGTGCGAAAGCAGTGGCTGCGTGTGTTTCTCTTTTCTTACTGCTTTGCAGCCTCTCAACTCCCTTCCACTCTTGGGCCGAGAAATGACTGTTTTCAGATTTCTCCCAAAAAATTCCAGGTTTAGGAGGCAAAGAGAGGGAAGTAAACGTATTTCCTAACTCTAAAGCTCTTTCCCCGCTGCGTGAGAGAAAGGCTCGGCTCTAGCGCGGGCCCAAGTTATCTGCGTTCTTCTTTTGTATGCAAGATTAGGTTGTTACAAAAGAGGGTGTGTAGGTTAATGGCAGGAAGCAAGTTGCAGTGTGCAGCGCTAGCCCTGAGCGCGTGTCGGGCTTAATGATTTATTCAAACTGCAGCGCATCCGGGCGTTGATTGGCTGCAGGCATGCGTCTGCTGTCAGCTGCGTGCGCTGGGGACTAGCCGGGCTACCTGATCCAGAGGGGGTGGGCAAGGGGGGTAAGGGGCCCAGGTGAAGGGAGAGCAGACTGGGGACCCTTCGCAAGGGAGGTGTGAAAGGAAAGAATAGGTAGGAGGCGAGACTCAAATAGAGGGATTGAAGGGAGAGGAAAAGGAAAAGGAGAGATTGGAGAGAAGGAAGGGGGAAAGGAGAGAGGAAAAAGGGAGAGGGAGAAATGAGGAAGGACGCCAAGAATGGGGGAGAGTCCTTGCAGAGGCAGAGCCCAGAACGTCCGGCGCGCGCCCCTCTGCAGGCGGCCAGGGGCTCACAAAGCCGCCTTTGATGCGGTGGCCATCAGGGCTATTTCGGGGATGAGCTGGAGAAAAAACCGCCAACCCACGCTTCTTGAAGGGAGTCACTTTCTGTAAAGTACGGCGTAGTGGTTTGGGCTTTGAGTCTGAGCTGTCCGACACCGGAAGTGGACGTAGGAGACAAAAGCTCTGCACCTGCCCGAAGCAAGGGGTAGTGTCCAGTTCCCCAACTCCTGTACCTGCGGAGCGACCTAGCGCCAATTCCAGCCTCTGCCCTCTGGGCCGGTCCTTCCGCGGTCCCAGGAGCTCTTCATCCGCATCATTCCGCAGCGGCCCTTGATGTCGACCCCACCCCCTTCCTTAATTCGTCCGTTCTCCACTCATTTGTTCTTTCCACCTTTTCCCCCCTCGCCATTTCCTGTGTAAAATCCCAACAGCAAAACCAAACATTTCTACATTGGAGCAGCTTTAGCCAAGAAGTCTTTTGGAAG